ATACTATAAAAATACTAAATCAAATAATAAAACTAAAAATAAAATAAAAGAAAAATAAAGAAATAGAAAATTATAAACATGACAATACATCAGTCCATCCATCAAGTGAAAGAGTTAAATCACATAAATTTTTAATTTGATCAATTATTTCTACTAATACCCATGCATATTCTGTTTGAATTATTCTATTTGATAATATATATCTTGATAGTGAATCATAACTTGAATATAAGTTCTTTAAAAATAAAATAAAAAAAAGATTTTTAACAAAAACTAAATGAAATATTACTATATATTAATATTCGCAATAACAAACTATGTAATTTATTAACTTTTTCTAATGATATAGTTGCTTTATCAAAATAGTCAGTTATTAAAACTAGTTTATAAGTAGAAATCTCAATAACTTGTTCAGATTTATTTTTAATTATTTGTGAATAAAATACTTTATTTTCAGCTAAAATTTTACCACAGATATTAAGTATATGATTTGTCATTATTTTTTTACGTACTTTAAATATTTGATAACAGTATATACATTTTGTATTATATCATCATGCTTTGTTATTTTTAAGTTGTTTTAAATGCAAAAAGCCTATTCAATATATATCAAAATTTTTAGGTAGTATTATAAAATCTTTATTTAAATTTAAAATATTAGAATTGATAATATCTTCAGAGTCTATAATATCTTCAAAATCTATAATATTTTCAGAATTCATAATATCTTCAGAATCTATAATATTTTTAGAATCTATAATTTAAAAATAATAGTAATAATAGAAAATAATAAAGAATTATTACTTTTATTTAGTATTTGTAATTAAATTGATTGATCAGATAATATATTTAGAAGATAGGTTTTTAAAAGAGAAAATATATTTAATTTTATTTTATTTTTTTTTTTAATATTTAAAGTGGCTTACATTGCTGACAGGATTTTATTAGTATTTGCATACGAGATTATATATTGATAATCCCTACTGTTTGTAATTATATGAAGAGTATACAACAAGCTACAAGTACAACTTTAGTCATTGTCTAATTTAAGTAGTCTACTGCACAGGCAATTAGACCACCCAATTGGTTCTATACTATGCTACCATATCTGTAATCTGCCTGTGAGTTATCTATTTAAACACTCTATTTATTAATCTATACAGATCCAAACCTAACATCACTGCAACACCTAACCGCTTAAGCCAGCTAGCTCGTTATGGATTCATTTACTCAAATCAGCTTAGGTCCTTTCAGGATACACTATACCAGATGCATTGCTAGTATTGCAGAGCTAGTTAACCTCGAAGC